CTCCGGGAAGATCCGGCATCCTGCAGGGGGACGTGCAGCGTTAGGGCAGGGGTGGTGACCTGGCAGAATGCTGACCCGCAAGTGGGAACCGCAGGCCCCGCCCCCTGGGCCCCAAAGCCCAGAATGCACCCGCCCCTCCCAGAGTTGGGCGCCCCGTTTCCCCCTGCACCCTGAGCAGCCTACAGACTAACCAGGAGGGGAGGACAGCGCCTGCCTCTTGTTAGGGCTCTGCCCTGGCCCGGGGGTGGCTGTGGGGCGGGAGCAGGAAGTGTGGGGTTAACATCAAAGGGGTGTTTAATGTCCGCAGGGAAGTATCCACGGCCTCCAACCCCCAAGGGCCCTGCCCTCTGCTGGGTGCACCCGTTTCTCATCACACAGCTGTGGCTGTCACCCCAGCGAGTCAGGCTGTGTCACCACCCCTGCACCGACCTCCACTCCGCTGGGACTGTGGTGAACCCCTGGCCAACCCTTGAACCTCAGGATTCCCAGTTTCCTTATCTGTGGGTTGGAGATGCGGACACACACAAGGAAATGCAAATAATGCATTCAACACGTCCTAGGACTGAAAGTGTGCCGGTCTTCCTAGGTTTTACTAGGGGCCCAGTGCACGAATTCGTGCACCTAGAAAGGGACTGTGAGCCTGGAGGCTGCGGTAGGCACAGGGGCGGGTCTTGGCCCATGCTCTGTGCCCCGGCCCCGCCCCTCCTGCCATGGCTCCCAGTCCGCTGCTCTCCCGACAGCCAGGAGGGATTGGGGTCAGCACCAGCAGCAGTTGCAAGCAGGGCCAGTGCCGGGTTCAAGCTGCGGCTGCTGCCCTGATACCCCCTCAGGAGCAGGGGCAGGTGGAGAAGCCCTCAGGGGCGATCGGGGCCAGCAGCCACTGCCCGCACCCGCTGAAGGCACTGAGGGATTGGGGCTGGCGCCGGCTCCGGTAGCAGGCGCAAGCGCTGGGTGGGACCGGGCACGTGGGAGCAAAGAATTTTCAGTAACCACCAGAGGCTCGCCCCAATGACAGCGACTGGTGCCCTGCCTTGGTCTGGCGCCCCTGCTCTCCTGCTCCACCATCCCGCCATGTTCCCCACCCGCCCCCTGGTGGTCAGCACAGGTCATAGCGACCAGTTGTTCAGTTGTTCTGCTGTTCCGTCTATTTGCATATTAGGGTTTTCTATAGATAGATGTTTTGTCTTAGGACTGGGGCAGCAGCAGTGCCTCCCATTTAGAATTTCTGTTTGTGTGTGTGTGTGGGGGGGGGCGTCCACCCACCGTGTCCCCCCAAACTCTGCAGCCTGCTGGTTCCATGCTCAGGACCTGCCAAGCCACCAGTAACATGGAAGATCCAGGGGACGGAGGCCGGTCCCTGCGCTTCCTGGGCCAGCTTAGGGTCAGGGGCCACCATGGCTGGTCGCAGCTGGGGGCTCGGTGAGGCGCCCTCTCCCCTCCCACAGCGGCGACGCTCTTCCCCAGAAGGCGCTTCCTTGGCCAGAGCGACTAGCACCTCCTCCAGAAATGTCCCCACCGGTCAGAATGCCCGGAGCAGCAGTCCTCCGCTCGGGGGAGCCCCTCCCAACCGTGGCCACGGCAGATCGTTGCCCGCCTCTCCCTGGGCTCTGGAGTCCACCGGGCAGTTCAGAGACACCGTCGCCTCCGCTGTCCAGCTGATGTCCCCAGGAGGTCGGGCTCTCAGGCTGCCTGTGCCCCTCCTCCACGCCGGGGCTCTCCCGGGGTCGCTCAGTGTCCGGCGGGGAGGGGTGTCTTTTGGGCTCCAGGCGATATCCCCGAGGACGCCGCGAGGCCCGGTGCTCCCGTGGAGCCAGTGTTTTAGGCGGATGGGGGGGGGGGCACAGGCTCCTCCTGCGCACGATGTGCAGACCCGGGGCTGGCAGGGCGCTCCAGCTGCTCGCTGCGTCCCGACCGGCTCTCGCGCCGGCCGCCGGGTCCTGCGGTCCCACCGCGCTCCGCTTCCTCTCGGCAACGCGTCCGGCCGCGGCTCCCTCATTGGCTGCGCGCCCCGCAGCCGGCCATTGGTCCACGGTCCCTATTTTACATAGGTCGCCCTGGGCCAATCGGCGTGCGGCACCTACTTAACATGCACGCCGGCCACCAGTCAGCGAGCGCAGGGGCCGGGCCACCACGTGCTGTTGCTAAGCTTGGGCTTCTGAATTGTTACTAGCGCGGCGGGCCTATCCGAACCCAGCTTCGCATCTGTCAACATTCTCGGCCCAGCCCGAG